GAAGAAGAAGAAGACAAAAAAGAAGGTAATCTTCAAGCCGGAATAATAAGATTCTATATCCATTCGCTTAAGTCTTGCACGATTCTGAGGTTACAAGCTTGGGTAACCTCGAAGCTTCGATTTAAAGGTAATTGTCGAGCGCGATATCACTTCCGGATAACCGATATATGCGTCGGCCGACGTCACGCGCGTATGTTAATCGTCGTAAAGCCAAAGAAGAATCTTTACGAGCTCGCACTTTTTCTTGCTCTTTGCGCACTTTGCTCGTGCTCGCGAACGTTCAAAAATTCAGTCGCGGCGCAAAGGGCGCCGAACATCCCGCTTGCTCTCCGCAAATCCGAGAATAACGCCACGGCAAATCCCGTCTTCAAACAAGAGGCCGTTGTTTGCAGGTCGCCGCATACTTGGCGGCGCGGAGGTCCGCGAGAGCTGCCGCTGCTTCGAAATGCTAGAAACGGCCCGTGTGTGTAAGCCAGCGCAAACTAGCTGCAGCTAACTACGCTCAGTTCTCTCTCTCTCTCCCCCTCTCTCTCTCTCTCTCTCTCTCTCTTGGTGTGCTCGGCAACATCAAATATGAAAGCTCGCAATTATATAAAGCTAAGAGTGAGGACGTAGGGCGGCAGCGGCGGTACGGGAGGACCCAGTCCGAGAGAGATACGCAGTGTGAAGCGCAAACACAACGCGGGGCGAACCGCGCGCGTTTTCCGTGAAGTTCTGGACCGCGCGCGGGACCACCTTTGCCCTTGTCGCTCCTTTCCCCTGACCCCCGAATGTTCATCGATTTTTAAATATGCGGTAGCGCCTGACGTAAGGCCAAACAGAGCCAATTGCCGAGCTTGTTGATCCTGGCAATGTGGTGAATTAACTCCCTTTCTCTCTCTTTCTTTCTCTCTCTCTCTCTCTCTCTCTCTCTCTCTCTCTCTGCCGATATCCTCTCTCGCGCGCGCAAATATGAGAAACGGATGTTTAACCGTGCGAAAAATATTTGATTTGCCGCAAATAAAAGAATAAATAAACGTTATAATTAAAACGGTTGATCGCGACTCGGCGACAAATCATGGCGAATATAGGATCAGCGTGATGTAGCACGTAGCGCTTGAGAATTATAGAGGGATCGCGGACGCTCACGTCTCATATAGGATGTATAGGACGCAGGATGCCATATATAAATCGTGCGTCATCTTTACACCTTTAATAATCGACACGGCTTGACGATTGGTATTTACGACGTCGACGAGACATGAAGCACGCGGCGCGTTTTACATCCAGGCGGTTCGTGGCGCAACACACCTCGTTACAAATATCATCGGTGGACATCAAGATTAACGGTCCAATATCTCTCTCAAGGAACGAGACAATCTGGCGGGGAAAGTCTGAGAACCGGGCAATCGCGCAATCGTACCAACACGTGGGCTCGCCGGGATGAAACGCGATCATTCTTTGTCAGCACGACGTGTCGCAGTCACACTGTGAACTACGTTTGATCGATGCGATTTCGCCTTTGGGCGAGAGGGCCGCGGGTGGGGAGATAATGAAAACGATCCGTTATGCGAGTATATCGCGCGCGCACATCCGGCGCGACGCGTTCTTTCCTGCCGATTTTAACAAAATATGTCACTCGTTTCAGAAACACGACATTTAATTACGATTCGGAGGCATTTAACGCCAACATTGAGATATTGATATAACTACCACTTTTCTTGTATTTTTATTTTGCTTTATTTTTGCTTTTATTTCTTTTATTTTGCTCGTAAAATAATCTTATATTCACACCTCAGGCTGCGTGTCTATATACGATGCGTAAGGATTGCTTAAATATAGATGGAGGAATTTTGCTGCATCTGACGCGTTTCAAAACGCTGGGAAGTCTCAAGCGCTGCGATGTATGGATTGAAAAAACGTGTGTGACGCAGGAAAAACGGCTATATCGAGCGAATTAAGCAGTAACATGCTGGTCACGCAAGAATCTGAACAACTCACACGCGCGACAAAAGTGTTTCCATGGAACCAGACAGGAATGAATAACAACAGTTTCCTCATTTTTCCGACGCACACGCAAGCTTCATGTCTCGCGAAAACACACCGATGAAACTCTTTTGTGCAACATCGAGCGTGCAGCTAGCTAGCCAACCAGCCAGCTAGCCAGCCAGCCAGCCATTGTCGATGATGTGCCGGCGCGAAACTGTAATTGCATCGGCGCGCACGCGGCGCATTACGCATGATAGATCCGTCGTAACGGCGCGATAAATAACGCGAGCCCGCGTGGAGCTTATGCACAGGGACATCGGAGATTTGCCAACTAATTTTTACGTAACGGGATTACGTGCGCGCGTACGTGTGTCTGATCCAGTTCGCGCTAGAAATAAATCACGCTTATCGGCGTTGTTACGTTGCTATATAAATTCGCTTTCGTGTTCACTGTGAGCCTTGCAGTATGCAAAGTAATTAGTTCGGCTCTACCATCCTGCTGCTTCGAAAGGTCGCCTTGTGTGAAATATAAAGAGCACTTTACGCGTACGTATAATTTTTTGTTAAGTTTAAATTCCTGTTGTTATATTCGCGTCGAGAGTCGTGGATATCTTCACGACGACCTCTTTCGTAAATGATCCGCCCCACAATGTAAAGAATATATTAATATATAATGTATAACGCGTGACATGCCCTCGTTTAGCCGGCGCGACGAATAATAATGAGTGGAACGCGAGGCGGGAAACCGCACGACATATTTTAATCAAACTTCCTCAAAGTTCGCGTAGGTCCCTTCTCATTCTTTCCCCTCCCCCCTTAATTTTTACTTCCACGAACACATCGCCGTGAGCTATTTGACATATTCGAATTGCGGTAGCGCTAAGAATGTGCCCTTCGAATACTTTGGGTTTTCGCGGTCGCTTTGAACTACCGCGCGTTCGTCTGTCCTTCCAGTTTCGATGCGCGTGGAATCAAGCGCTGCGGTCACGGCGCGACGCCGAGTACGTATCAAACAAAACAACGCGATCGTGTAGCTTATCTGGAATTTCTAGGTCGATTGGTCGAAGAGTCGCGTTAAAGTTGCATTCATGACTATTTTGCCGCGAATTTTAACGAAATCTTTCAGACTTCTCAGTCAGTGCGCCGAATAAACGAACCCATCGATGTTCAGGAAAAGTGGTTGAATTAAGGAGACTGCTTGAACGCGCAAAATTCAAAAAAATTCAAACAAATATAGTTGTGATCAATTGATTCAATGATTGCGATTTGATCAGTAACCATATCAGTGCAACTTATCGTCGCACTAACGCGTAATTTTTTCCACAAGACATAACATTTGAAGGCAGATAGCCGCCGATCCAAGTGCCCTTTCCTTTCTCAGTGTACAATCGCCGAATGTGATTCATTAGTTTTATCATCGTGGCGCATACACTATCGCGGTTAAAAATATACCGCGAAATGTTACAGGTCCCGAGATCCATAGCCGCAACATGCAGCGCGATGTTCCCGGACCGATGTTACGAGCAATCACGCGCATAATTACAGATCGCGGCGAACTAAATTAATCGCAACGCAAACAATGCCGTGCCGTTGTTAGCCCCCGTTCGTCCGTCCGTCAGTGCACCGCGAAATGCGGGGAGGCCGCGGGATGTGATGATCAGCGAGAGAAAGAGAAAGGGGGAGGGGAGGAGAAATAGAGAGAGAGAGAGAGAGGGAGCCCGCGCGCGATCGTTAATTTCCACAATAATATTCGGCGGATCGCGGGAATTGTCGATGCGCCGCGCCGCGCCGCGGCCGATCAATCCTCCGATTACCGGCGCGGCAAGATGTAATTAGTCCTGCGCGGGCCTCACCCGTGCCAGTGTACGTTATGAATTTCGGTAGCTGCCGGAGGTTAACCGACCTCGTGATGCCGGGGGTAAACGGACCTGAACCAACCCCTCGGCCACCCCGTCCTGTGCTACTTCTCCTCCTCCTCTGCGCCCGGTGGAATGACATTCCGCGCCGGATTATAAATTATTTCATCAAACACAGACGCGCGCGCGCGCGCGCGCACAGGAAGAATAAACGGAAAGAAAATATTTGCTCCATTACGCCGAGGGAAAAAACATGAGAAAGTAGAGAGGAAAAGAGAGGGAGAGAGAAAGAACGAGAGAGGAGAGAGGAGAGACGATAGGATGGCGGCCAGACATCGCTGAGATGGCTTAGGGGGTGGCTAGGTTAGGACGTGGGGCGAGAGAGACGAGACGAGGCGAGACTAGCAGGGCTCGGCTGCTCGAGGCAGTAATAAGAACGACGGCATAGTTTTAACTTCTCTTTTATGAGCGAGCTTTGTGCGAATGAAGGCACAAATTGCCGAGGTGCGCCTTCAGGGAGACATTGAGACACGCGCTTGGCTTTCTTCCGCGAGTCTACCGCCGCCACCGCTACTCTTTCTCTCTCTTTCTCTCTCTCGACACGTAACCCTCCACCTCCGCCGTCTTCCACCGTCGCTTTTCGCGAGCAACTACCGACGTTGTCTTGAATTTTCTCCCGGAGTCGTTTCCCCTCGAGTCAGCGCGCGCGAGTCGTGTACCCCGAAATTCTACCTGCCCTGCTCTATCTCCGTTTGTAGCCTTCGTCCCGCCGTGTAATAATTATTACCCTAACGCGCAAATTCCCCGTCTGCTGCGTAAAAATGCAAAGCTCGCAACACGATGTTACGTGGCCTCCACCTTCGCCGAGTTTATCCCGCGTCTGTCTAGGAAGCTCATCCTGTTATATCGCTTTTAGACGTGGAACCCTTGAGCGACGTGTTTTGAAGAAAATACGTGAAACATTCCAAATGCCATTTGCAAACGCTTGATGAAACAAATTCTCATGAGACCCTTAACAATGCCTTGCAAAATTCGTTATAGAAGCTGATAAGGATGTTTCTTTAAACCTATCTTGCTTAGGAATCGTGTCACTAAAGATTTAATATCAAAGAGCATTGGTGTCTATGCTTAAGAAAATGTCAAATGAGATCATAAACGCGGCATGTCGTTTTGCAGTGCGGCGCGTTCGTCCACTGCAACCTTCTTCACGAGTCGATCGCACTCGCAGCGAGACCTTGTTCTGCGAGAACGACGAAGAGACAAAAAGACGCACACGATGGAGAGAGGGAGAAACAGCAGAAGCAGAATGTCACGAGAGGATGGAAAAGGGCCAGGAGTCACAGCGCGAGCTGGATCCTCGTGGCGATACGTATGTATGTGTGTGTGTGTGTGTGTGTATGCGCGTATACGTGTGCGTACGTACGGTATGGTTCCGAGATGCGTTATCGAATGTTTTATTCATAAGCGTAGAACAAAGCCTGCCTGTTTATCCTGAGGACATCTCTCTGGTTGCGCTGTGTACGCAACGCTACGGCGCTTCCCAGAGCCGCGAGCTGCACTTAAAGCGTCGACTAAGTGCAGTTGCATCGAGACCGTAGTGTATATGTGGAGCGCTTACGCACTCACCACCAATATACCTCTCTTTTAATATCTTTTCCAAAAATAAAAATAAAGAAAAAATATATCGGTCATCCCATAAGTAACTGTGCACACAACAATTGGTAGAAGCGCGAAACTTCTAAGGTTTTTTAAGTGGTCTCTTAGAGAATTAAAGAAATCACGCGCCGCTCAAGAGTCAGAGGGCAGAACTGAAAAGTCGGCGACGACTTGGGACAAGAGGTCGCGGAAGAAGAGAGCGAAGGGGATCGACCTGCTGCTGCGCGTCCACCCGTGGGTTACCGTGAATTGCCCTAATAAAAACGTTGCGCCGCCTCCGCTTTCTTTCGCGTAGGAGTCCCGGAATTACCGCCTCTTCTCCTCCATCCCCGAAAAAACGGCGCCCGCCAAATCGTCATATCCGCCGACGATCGCACTCGCAGATAAACGCGGTCTCGGTAGCCCGAACCTCGAGGATATCTTCGTCATTTGTATCTCCGCGGGTGCGCCCTCACCCTCCCCTCTCGAGTACCGGACGACAATGAATGGAACGGGCGACGCGGTGCCGAAAGCGGGACCACGGGCCCATTCGCGAGAGAAGATAAGGAAGGCACTGGTCCTTCCTGGAAAATCGAGGGCAGTTTCTGCGAGACCTGAGATTCGCGAAACTTTTTCTCTAGGAGGGGCACGTTTGATTAATTATTAAAATATGCATCTGATAAAAAATTATCTGTAAGGAAATTGCAGATCATTACGAGCAACTGCAGTTGAGTTATTAATTAAGGGAGATTGGCGGGTGATCGTGCGCGATAATGCATCAATGTGTTCCTTAATTAATAACTAAAAATCTACGTGACTATTAGCAAAATGGTAGGGGATTTTTCTCTTCAGTCTGACCTAATCTACAAGCACATGACAGCAGGCCTCGCCATCACAGCTTATCTACCGTATCGATCATTCGCCAATCTTCCTTAATTAATAACTGAAAATTTTAAATAGTTCTTTGCAAAATGGTAAAGGAATTTTGTGTTCAGTTTAACCTAATTTACATGCACTTGATATCAGACACTTTGCAGAACGACATCGAATTTTCGCCATACAGCATATCTCTTGCGATTTCGCGTCGGCAAGAAATTCGCGAAAATATCGCGGCGACTATATTGAATAGAATATCTGAAATTATGCGATTCTCACGCGGACATTCCCGCATTTACATCCGAAATTACACGATCGGCATTCCGCTTCCTTTCCGAGGACTCTTATGCTGCTTCTGTCCCAATCGCGGGCGTGCAGCAGTTCCGTAGGCAAACGTTCCCCCTTTAACCTCGTTAATTGTCATATCGCATCTCCGAGTCGGGGCTTGGGAGCGGGCAGAGCTACGGTACGGGCGTGGGTGGATCGCGATGATTTACGAGGACCGGCGTTCCGGGGCTCAGGCCGGACTCTAGAGACGCTTCGCTGATAGCGTCAGAGCCACATAAGTCATCGAGACTATACCTAGGGCTCTCTCTCTCTCTCTTTCTCTCTCTTTTGCGCTCTCCCTTTACCCCTTACACCCGTTCTCCCCTTCGCCCTTTCTTTCTTCATTCTTTTTCCCACTCCGGCGAATACCCGTCTTCCTCGGCCCTCGCCGCTCTCCCCTTCGTCCCGTCCTCCCACACCCCGTCGACCGACGTCCTATTCTTAATCTTCTTTGGTCCTCCATTATCGGGGCCCGCGCTCCAATTATAACGCCGACGATACAGAGAGAATTATAATTGCTTTTCGCCTCTGCGTGTGTGTCGCCGACGCGCGAGAAACGCGCGTGTCGTCTCGATGTATCGTCGGTAGTACCGATTCTCTACACGCGGGCTGTTCGACTTCCGCCGAATAATGGCTCGTGTTCCCTGACGGATTCGGAGTCGATTTTTCTTGGGAGAAAACGCGCGTACGGTCGGTCGTTTGTAATCGCTCCGAGAACTTTTGACGTCAAATATCTTCAAGACGGACGATCGCGAATTGAAATACGATAGAGTCTACTCGAGGCCAGATAAGAGACGCGGTGACTCATTGAATTCAGAAATTGCCTCGATGCCTTCAATAATTTCGAGATAATATTTTCATCGCGAAGGAATCCACGCCATTAACAGTTGACCCGAGGGGCACAGAAGTAGAGCGCGCATACCGATATCCTGCGCCAGTAATTGACAAACACTAATGTCCGCCTAGGACGATGTGCCGTGAGAAATTGCGAGACGCGGTGGAGCGTTGAGATGAACGCCGGTCGACGTGAAAAGCGAACGCCGTCGTCGTTAAGATAAACGATGGACGGCGTTCGCGAAAATTACGTAACACCGTCATCGTTACTCACCACCGTGAATTAAGCCGAAAAGTAGAATTAAACAAACCCAACGAATCCGTGGCGTTAATTAAGCGAGAATTCCGCGTTATATATCATACGCGTGTAAGATAACTACATCATCACCGATATCAATGCTATTAATGTTGTGATTCGACGGTAAAAACGATCGAATAAGTTTAATATTAAACATTAGTTCAGACTTAAGTGAACATGTTATTAGTATGTACTGAATAAATATTCTATATTTTTTAATCTCTCTTTTTTTAATGTACCATTTCTGTATTGAAAAAAAGAATTTCATTGTTGGAGCAAAAATCTAGTACACCAGGTCAAAATTTGGGTTAAAGTGGAATCAATCAAACGTTTGGCAATTGCAACCAAAAAATTTAATTGCCGCTATATATATGCGTTTTGTTTTCCCCAATAATACATGTACTTGACACAAATAAAAAACATGCAGTGCCAACAAAATCGTGTATATGCCAGATAGTTTCGAATACAAAAATAATTGTTTCCGCCTCTTTCTCGTTCTTTTCCCCGTGTTATCTCATTCGTTTCACATTCGTTTCACGTGCGTTCGTTATATTTATATCAGATACAATTGATTATTGACACCACTACTCGACGTACTGTGTCAAAGTTACCGCTTTCTCAGGAATAGTACGGTCGCGCGGACGTGTCAGGTGCGTACTACCCTCGCACGTCTTGAATTAAGCGTCGTCATTTCCAGTGTGTCCCAATTAAGACTGATTTTCTCCGTTTCCTTTCCGGTATTAGTGTCACGGTGAGCGCGCAATCTCGGAATCTACGGCATTGTGCGCCGTCCGTTCGTCCACTTACGATCCGCGGCATGAATATTACATGCCTTCTTACCCACCGGAAAGATAATTGTCAAGAGCTCTAAATACGGTTCTTGAAACGAGTGGACAGAAAATGCATAATACATAACGCGACGAGAAAACGAAAATTTACGATGCACATGAGCACCGCGTGCCGCGCTAATCTATCCCCCCTCCTCTCTCTCCGCCGCCCACCTCCTCCCTCACTCTTTCTTTTTCTCTCCGCGGACTTGTGACTCGTAGGTACTGAATTAATTTGTCGTGCCGGCCGGATCGCTATCTGACTCGATGTTTGCTCCTTGATCTCGGCGAAATTACGACAAGAGTTAAGACGTGCCAGTTCTCGTTTGTCCGCCAATAAGGATGCGCGATAATATCGCGGAAAGCTGTTGCGAACGTCCGTTAAGATCATATTGTTGCGTGCACGTTATCGTAGATACGAATACACGAATATGTTCCGAGCAAGAGCACCCGGAAACATATCGGCCAACAATCACTCGGTGACAAAATAAAAACCCACTTCTACAGAGAATCGAGAGCAGGAGCGCGTCGCCATCACCATTTCCGTCTTAATTTCGAGCATTTCGCCGAGTTTAGGGATGTAAGAGCGCACTTTCGAGTCGGCCCGCGCATTCTCGGAGAGTCCGCGGAAATGATAGGATCTCTTGGCGCGTCGCGCCAGATACGGCTATCCGGCCGCTGCTTTTCGCATCCTACCGCGCACACGCGCGTCCGTTAAACCTACCTATGACAGGGTATACGGCGGTGATTTATAAACAGTTTACGACGCCTGCCCCCGTTCGTCGGCCAGGCGAGCGAGCCGGGCGCGCGTATCCTCTTTCCGCTGCCACTGCCCTTAATAGAGGCGCGGACCCGTTTTCTGCAGAAACCAGAATGGGTCTAGCCTCGCGGGCACGACCCATTTCCCGGACATAAATCATAGACGGAGACGTCGAGAAGAGTCGAGCCCGCTGCGCGTTGTTACGACCATGCTGAAGGTGGGCATTATCGACGAGACCACGTAATTAAGCCGGGGTGCACCGTCGGATGGGCGATCACACGGACGGCGATTCCCCGATGAGAATCCGAAATTCGCTTCGATCCGCGATATCGTCAGCCCTTGAGCGAGACTCTGCGCGTTTGCCAACGATCATCGTGTGTGCGTCTCGAAAAACTATCAGAACGCGGCTACTTCGGTGTTACCCAGCGGGTAACACGCGGTAGTCACTGAGATCGTACGAAGTTAGATACGAACATGTTCCCGCGTTTCCTAATCTTTCGATCATTGTCGCGATTTCTCGATTTTTAGCGAGCCCACCGACGCGAAAGATTAATAGGCCGGTTGTTTCAACTTCTAAATTAATTGATAGTTAAATCGGATATGTCTGTTTTTGTGTTTAATTTAGACAAATATAGGCATGTAATTTCAATTCAAATCTAAATATCTCATGTGAGACAAATTTCAAATAAGGATTATTAATATAGGTCTTAATCGCGCAATTGACGGGACGTTTGTATGTATGTGACAATTGATAGAAAGGATCATTGAAAAGAAAAAAGATACACACACATATATACAGTACTCCTACGCTG